TCCCCACCAACACGACACGTTTGAAGAAGCGTTTGCCCAGCGACTCATAGCCAGTAGGCAGGTGGGGCAAAGATCTACAACAAAAATGCAAGGCTTCGCCTCTTGCTTTTGAAACCCTCCCAAGCGCCTGGGCATCCCATAAAAGAATGCACATCAAATTAAGGCCAGCTGGGATGGTGGCTGGGATAGACTTGAGAATGACCTAGGAAAGACTTGAGAATGAGCGAGGGCTACCGGCCTCCTTCCCTCCTCAGCTTACAAAGGCTGGAAGAAGCAGGCGGCATCGCCTGTGGGTCCTCCTTAAGGACTCGGGCTCTTCAGCCACGGAGTCCAAATCACTCTTCTGGATGCTCGCCCGGAGCAAAGCTCTGGCTTCGAAGTCGCTGGAAGGCAGCCACGGTGAAGACATATGCTACTGCCAGCATGCAAAGGGAAAACAGGGACCCTACTGCTCAGGCAGGAACACAAATCGAGTGTTTCTAGGAGACCCCGGCCGGGAGGGAGCTTTGTCACCGGCGTCCCAGGATCGAGAAACCGTGCCCTCCGCTCCCCACTTGGCTCATCTTCCCCAGTGTTGCCGAATGGGAAAGAACTTCTAGAGACTGAAGACCAGAGTTCATGAATTGAAGACCAGAGTCTCAGTCTGCATTTTCTGTCCCACGGGGCTCACGTATGTTCAGGAAAAGTGTCCACCGAGATCCAAGAGCGCCTCTGGTAACGCTCTTTCCGTATCGTGTAGGTCTTTTTTTTTTTTTTTTTTTTTAACTTTTTGGATTTTAGGGGCAGAGCTTTGATTCAATCAAATGCCTCTCGCAGCTGGTGACATATGGGGGTATTATGTTGACCCCCACAAGGTCCCTTTCTTATTTGATTTCCGGGTTCCATGCACGCCCCATTTTCCATTACTTTTCTTTCCTATTAAGTGGGCACCTCCTCTACGACGTTGAATAGATGTTCTGGATATGTACCTACCTACCTGTGAGAAATGCGTGCGGGTATTTCACGTATGTATGTTGCATTTAGCTTACGTCGTAGTGTCTCGTTACATTTCTTACCTTTATGCTCACTCACTCCTTCCAGGGTATGCTCACCAGTATATCGCTTCCCATAGCCATGGGACAGCTATTTGCTGCTACAAATAATTCTGCTGTGTTCCTTTTTCCATGTGGGGCCTTAATGGGCTTATAGGCAAGATTTTCCCAGGCAGGTTCTCTGGAGAGAGGCTGCTGTATTGTAGGGCACCCAGAGGCTAATTCCCTTAGAGCTGCCAGATTACTTTCCAGAAAGACTGTGCCAGTTTCCACTCCTGCCAACTAAGCCCCGGTGTTCCAGCTCCCCCCCCCCCCCCGCCCACTCAAATTTTTACATTGTTGTCACTGGAGTAGATATTAAGGGGCACCTACTGTTGTTTTAATGGATTTTTTTTTTACATTTATTTATTTTTGAGAGACAGAGAGAGACATAGCACGAGTAGGGGAGGGGCTGAGGGTGGGGGAGACGCAGAATCCGAAGCAGGCACCAGGCTCTGAGCTGTCAGCACAGGGCCTGACGAGGGGCTCAAACCCACCAACCGCAAGGTCATGACCTGAGCCGAAGTCGGACGCCCAACTGACTGAGCCACCCAGGAGCCCCAACTACTGTTGTTTTCATGTTGATGTTTGTCATTATGGGTGAGGTCGAGAATCTCTTGAACTTTAGCCATTCAGGTGTCTTCCTTTCTGTGCATTGCCTATTTCTATCCTCTACCCATTTTCCTATTCTTTCAAGGATTAATAAGAATTCCTTTCTCAGCTAAACATTAATCCCATTGATTTTAAACTTTGAACAGTCTCCCGATATGGTATACACCTGTTAACAACCGTCGACTGTGTCCGTGTTGGATAGAAATCTGTGGCCAGACCCAATACTCTCCTACCTCATAGCCTGTGCTTATACGGTCTTGTTGCAAAAAATCTCTTTCCACTTACGGGAATATTTTCTCCTACCAGCTCTAAGGAGCCAGCTTTCTTAGCACCGTCTGCTAAACAGTTTATCTACTCCCCACCTCTATCAGATGTCTTCCTTGTACACATCTCTATTCCTGGACATTCCTTTCTGTTCTTTGCTTTGTTTCTCTGCTGTTGTGCTGGTGTATACTCTCTTCTCCTTGCTCTTTGTGTGTGTGTGTGTATGTGTGTGTGTGTGTGTGTGTGTGTGTGCGCATGCGCGCACACACACGTAAAATTGACCCACTATTTGTGAAACTGAATTATTCGATGCAGACTTTAGATTCCGTTTGTCGAGTTTCCCCCAAACCTCTGCTGGAGCTTTTGGGGGAACATATGGAATGTGTAGATTCATTTAAGGGAGAACCGACAGATTTATAATATCAGATAATTCCATTCATTCATTATTCATGTCTTCTTCTATGCCTTTTATAGAATTTGAATGATTTATCCATAAAATTTTATGCCTTCCTTTTTATTTCTGTTCCTAGAAACTCGAGAGATTCCTGATGTTACGAATGGCATCTCATGTTCAATTACAGTCCCTTGTTGCTTATTGATAGTGTGAATTGAATTTGTATCTGGCAGCCTTACCGAACTCTTATTAGTTTAGGAGTCTATTACGCGGTGGGTTTTCACTGCATATCTGACTCTTATTAGATGGTACCCTGAAGCCAGATGAATGTATGCTCTTCACACATTTCATCACCCAGTCTCCTCAAAGCTTTTCCATGCTGGCTGACCTTGTAACAGAAAGGTTAGCGATCACTTTTTATTTTTATTTTTATTTTTATTTAAAATTAAAAAAATTTTTTTAACATTTATTTATTTTTGAGAGACAGAGAGAGACAGAGCGTGAGTAGGGGAGGGGCAGAGAGAGAGAGGGAGACCCAGAATCCGAAGCAGGCTCCAGGCTCCGAGCTGTCGGCACAGAGCCCGACACGGGGCTCGAACCCACGAACTGTGAGATCATGACCTGAGCCGAGGTTGGATGCTCAACCGACTGAGCCACCCAGGTGCCCCTTGGCTATCACTGTTTAGCATCTACTACACTAGGTACTACCCTAAGAACTTTCCATGTGTTGTCCTACTTTATCTTCCCAACAACCTGATTTGATTATATTTTTATCCATACTTTATAGATGAAGAAATGGAGGTTAGACAGTAAGTAGCCTTGGCTCACACAGCCAGTAGCAGACTGAGCAAGACCAGCCTCTGACTCTAAGTTTGGGCCTTAGACTAGTTTATGATGAGCAAGGTAAAGCCTGTATTATTCACCAATACGCCCTTTTAATGAAAAATGGGTTCAGTTTTTATCATTTTATCTGTGCTATGATTGTGTTTATTTAACTCCAATTTAATATGTGATCTCTAACATAATAATAATACTTGCATTTATATTAACTATATAATAAAAAATAAAAATGGTCTCTAATGGCAAATGCATAATTGGGGGTTGCTATTTTGCATGTCTTGTCTTTTTACTTACTTTTCTGATCGTTCTTTGATTGTGTTTTCTAAAGCTATCGGCTGGTGATATTTTGGAAATTAAAAAAAAAAAAAAAGAAAAAGAAATCCAGACTGGTTCTTTACCATGGATTGTTTCAGAAGCACTGATCCTCAGTCCTATGTCTTGCTGGCTTAAGTACCTGAAGATGTCAATAGGATAGAACCAAAGTTAGGAGCCACTGTGTATTTCGGTGCCCTGTTGTCTCGATTGTTTCAAACAGATGATTTGTATTTCTGAAAAGCTCCAATTGAACGAGAGCCATCTTGAGAAAGCCCCTTTCTCCCAAGGAATGCCTGAGAACGATTCTTTACGCTGTCTCTACCCAGCCCTCTCTGTCGCTTCAGACTCGGCGTCTCCAGTGGATCTCAGAGGCAAGAATTTACTGCAGGGAAATACCAAGCAATGTCTGAACTTTCAGCTGGGGAAAAGTCTTTTATTGGAGCAGGTAATGTCTCATCTTGAGATGCCACGCTTCCACATTTGGAAAAAGAAAATTCTCAGCTTGAGCGTAACAGTGAATTGTGCAGTTGTTAACAACGTTCGTGAAACTGTTTATTTTAGGGGTGCCTGGGTGGCTCAGTCCAGCCTTATTTAGCTCATGGAAAAATAATGGGGAAAAAATCCAAATATTTAACAATAGGAGAATTTTTAGTAAGCCAGCTCTGTGGGTATAGTGAAATACTGCATTATCTTTAGAAAGAAGGCAGACTATATCAGCAGATAACAGTGGTTCTACCAGAGTATGTGTAAATGACAACAGAGCAAATGGGATATATGTTTGAACCACAACTGAATAAAAATACATTCACGTGTTTGGAGCAAGAATTGGAATTACGCCAGATGGAACTTACTGTGTTTTTCTTACCCGTAAGGTAAGATCTTTAAAAAAAGATCGAAAAGTATGTTTTTATGTGTGCGTTTAAGAAAATCACAGAAACGTATAGCTAGTTTATGCAAATTTAGGAACTTCCTTAAAATAACTGTCTTAAAATAATGGTAATAGGGAGTACGTAAAAATGTTTAAAAGGGGCTGTTTGAAAGAGCCACCTGGATCAGGGGCCTGCACCCAATGGCCCAGGCCAAGTCTAGCCTGCTGCCTGTTTTTGTAAATACAGATTTATCGCCTTCCGGCCACATCCATTTGTTGAGGCCCTACGACTCTTCCGGCTACAAGGGCAAAGCTGAGTGTTTGCAACAGAGACCGGTTGGCCTGAAGCTGTAACATATTTACCACGTGGCCTTCACAGGAACAGCAGCGACTCCTAACCTAGAGAATCACTTGAGGAGACATGAATTAGAACCTATTGGTGGCGTTGGTGGGACTTCCACTTAAATAACAGATATAGGGGCGCCTGGGGGGCGGGGCTCAGTTGGTTAAGCGTCCCACTGACTGCGGCTCAGGTCATGACTTCGGGTAGGTTCTATAGCCCCAGGCCGAGCTCCGGGCTGACAGCTCAGGGCCTGGAGCCTGCTTCGGATTCTGTATCTCCCTCTCTTTCTCTGCCTCTCCTCCGCTAATGCGCTCTCTCTCTCTCTCTCAAAAATGAAGGTGAAAAAATTTTTAAATAACAGATATAAAGGAAAGTCACAAAACTGCTCCAAATCGCTTAGTTCTGGGTGTGCAAAGAAATGCATTTGATTGATTACAGGCCCGAGAGACTTTGGGAAACAAGCGGGACACTACTTTCAGAGCTGAGACATTTTCACAGCTGGGTTTTTCCTTCTAAGCAAAGCAGTCAACCGTAAGTGTGGCAAAGCTAGGCAAGACCCGCGTGCGGGTAAAAGCGGATGAACAGAACCTTCAGGACGGTCTGGATCACCTGGGCCCGGCAAGGCTCCCGGAGGACATGTGTCTGCAAGGCTCTCCCGGAGGAAGCCATCGGCCCAGGGACGCCCAGTGTTGCTATGGCAACATCAAAGGAGGAAAGAAAAACTTGGCCTACGGATTTCCTGTAGGTGTCAGAGCAAGAACGAGTCCTAGGAGACACGAATAAGCAGTAAGCAGGGGGACCTGCAAATTCTACCTCTGTGTTTTCTGCTGTGTCATCTGAGCCCTCCCACCCCACCTCCCTCACCCCTGCACAGCCGCGGGGTTTGGCGTCGGGCCGCGGGGCCGCGGTTTGTTCCGAAATGGATTTATACCATTTATCCTGGGACAGGCCATCAGAAGCCTCACACCTGACCGTCCCTTTGTCCTGGGGTCTTAGAATCTGTGTCAGGTTCCTTCCAGGGCAACAGTTAACTCTGTTTTGAGGTCACCTCCGCGGATACAATGTTACTCTCTTGTGAGAGAAAGGAAGTCGATCCGTTTAGGAGTTGGGGGAGAAGACTGGGTGGCTTTGAGCTTCTGCCGACTTGGGACAAAAGGCACTTTCTGGGCTCTTCGTTCTCACTGATCACCCCTGCCCGGGCTCACGGGTAGACCTGTATTGGTAACACACCAGAATATTCTAGAAGACTCTCTATACACCATATACTTAACTATGCACCGGGGACTTGCTACATAGGAGACCACCAGGCACCTACACATGCAGGCACGCGTGCGCGCGCGCGCACACACACACACACACACACACTGTGGCTGATAGCGGCCCCTGAAAACACAGCACTGACTGACAAGTGAGGAAGAGAAGTGCCTAATAGTTGTGTTCCCACAGCATGGGCGGGCTCTGGCAGGGCAGAGTCTCTGGCCGGACTGTGTGGGGCAAGGGGGCTCGTGCATGTCCCTCAGATGGCACTACCCACGTCCGCTCACCTCTCCTCCTCCCCGTCCTCTTGTGCCCACCTTCCCTAGGTGCTGAGAGGACTCGACTCACAAGCCGGAGGAGACGGCGCTCCGAGGCCTGCTGCCCGCACCCGTCTTCAGGCTCCAGAACGTTCAGAGTAACAAAGGCAAAGTGAGGAAGCCCAGCCTGCCTGCTGGTGGGGGGGCCGTGGCTCTGCTTCCCTTTTGCTCTTTTCTTTCACACCCCCTCTGAAGAGCGGCAGAGGCTGGGAGAGCCACCGGCCACACCAGATCGAGGAGGTCACCAGGGAGGGCCCATCCCTGGAGCAGATCAAGCTGAAAAGAGGAGCCTGGGTGAGGGGGACAGGAGGCGACAGCCAGACGGTGAGAGCCGCTGGGCCGATGAAGGCGGGGCTGGTCCGGGGGCCAAACTCTGAAGTCAATCTTATTCGGGGCCCTCACCTTTCTTAAGCGCCCCAGTGTTCCCAAGATGGCTTCCACTGGCCTGCCCTCTGGATCCAGACCTTTCTCTCTCATTCTCTGCCTTCAAAAGATACCTGTTCTGAGGTAAACTTCACCTGTTTTTTCCCTTTCTCCTTCTCAGCTTCTGCCTCTTTCTCTGAAAAAAAAAAAAAAAATCTGTGCTGAGACTTTAGCGAGTGATAACGAATTAATTAGTAAACTTTCTCAAATAAAATATTTACATTTTTGAAAGGAGCCAAAGCAAAGGTAGAACTTCAAAGGAAGCTGCTAAAATCGCCTTCCGGCCACCCGTGTGTCCCCCAGGTAAGTCCTGGCCCTGTGCCCCTCTTGTTTGTAAGTGTCCTCGTGTCTTCCCCTCAGGATCTTTTAAGGGACCACAATAATTTGAGCTGCAGAAACTATAAATTGTCTTTGTATACGCTTATGTGATATTTGCTAATGCAAATAGCATATGGGAGCGGAATTGTAAACTTATAAGTAACCTTAAGCTTATCTTTTTAGTAACTCTAAGCTGATATTAACACGTATGTTATACAATATGTAAACATATTATAAATATTATGAAATATTATAAAGATATTATCTATCTCTCTATCTAGTAGTATGGATCCCCGATTCACATTCTCTGAAGTATACAGTTAGGAGTTCATTGGGAACAGGAGGAAAGAAACACACAAAGGGAAAGAAGTCGCGGATGGTCGCGTGTTACTAAAAAAGTCTCCCGGACCCGAGTTTGAGGGCATGAGTTGGTCATTTGCTCTTACTTAATGTGGATGGGTTGCTCGACAAAGCCCTTAACGACTGTTTCCTTTCTCCTAGTCACCATTATTCCCTTGACATCAGCCACCATAATTGCGGGGGGTGTTTTCCCGTCAAGACGTGAACCCAGTAATTGAGAACACGCTGGCCGAAGCTTGTTTCTCTCCTACAACAGTGGGAAGCACTTTCACATGGGTTAAAATTAACTAAAAATATCGCTCCTTTGCTACATCCCCACCCTCAGGCCCGTGGAAGGAGAGTCTGTAAGCTCTTTTTAGATTTCCCCGGAGGTTGGGAGTGGGCCAGTCACTTCAAGGGGGAGAAGAAGTTCGCCAATAATTGATGGTGCTTGCTTTATGATAATTATCGTAACATTTCATAAATAACATCATATAAGTATCGTATCAAACAATGTCAAATGATGAGGTCGAGTAATAAATATAATACATTTGTATGAACATAAGAGTCATTGGAGGCTGAGTTTTACGATCGTCATTCTGCCCTTCCTGCCCTGCCTCCACATAGAACGGACCCATCACCGTGACATCAAGTCAGTGGGGACCCCCACTCTATGCCTGGCGCCCTGAAGCTCCCATGTTGATGACCCCCAGAGAAGGTCTGAAGGTCTGAAGGTCTTTTCTTCGCAAAGGAATTTGCCACCTGTTTGTGGCGGTCCCTGAATTCTGTCGGACGGCTTCTTCATCAAAAACACTCGTGGTTCCTCATTAGCCTGGGTTGCCTCTCTAAAGATATTCCTGATTAAAATCACACTTGTGCCATGCACTGTGTAAGGATACAAAAATAGAAGACGACATTTTGGAAGTGCGTACTGGGGACGGTTGCACAACGTCGTGAATGGAATTAATGCCGCTGCGTGATAGATTTTAAAATGGCTAAACTGGAAACGTTTGTTACGTGGATTCTACTGCAATAATAAAAATGTTTTACCAAAAAAAAAAAAAAAAAAAAAACACAACCCCAAACAACCACACTGAGTAAGATAGTCCTGGTCCTCGGGTTCCTCATGGTCTAGTTGGGAGGACCAAAACGTGCAAACAAAGGTGTGATTGGTGAGAAGGTAGGATATAAAAAGGGATGCAAAGGAGGAGGCTGTGAAAGAAATGTAACCTTTTATTTGCTTTTGTGCGTTCTGTGTTTTAGTGGCGGTGTTAGGGGAGCCCGCTAGACCCGAGGCTTCCGTGATGAGCAATGCTACTCCAGAAGCCAAAGGCGTAGGCTCCCCTCAAATGTTGGATTCCGCAACAACGCGGGTCCTAATGTTGGACCCACGGGAGAAACTGTGCCTAGTGGAGTCCTAAGTCCAGTTGTTGTCTCCACTGTCATTCACTCCTCCTACCCAGGGCCCGGAAAGGATGAGACTGGAGAGGCACGTAGGGTGTGAAATCGAAGGAGCCATTTATGCTCATGGTCAAGTGCCGACAGGGGAAGCAGCGACCTCCGTAACATGTCCACATGTCCACAGACCCATGGATCTTGTACATCTTTGCATCTCCTAAAACCAATATCAAGTGGAGCACAGAGACAGCACGCGGCAAATGGTAGCATGCTTTGGCAAGCATTTCAAAAATAAATGAAGTTATTTATTCCACCACGTCCCCTAGGGACGAGCTCTTCACCTGTGTCTCTTCGGTTCCCATCTCTGTCTCATCCAGCTGAAGGTTGTTCAAGACTTATGCTCCTCGAACATCTCCCAGCAGGTGTTTCCTCTGCGCCTCTGGAACCCTTCTCCTTCTGACCCTTTTTTTCCAGTGTCGTTTTTGTTTTTGGTTGTTGTTGTTCCTCCCTGTGATTGATTTTGAACAGTTGCTTTGTCTTCAAGTCTTGTAGGTTTTCCCTGGGGTCTCAGCCACGGTTAATCCCATTTGGTTCAGTTTCCGCTTTGGCTATGGCAATGGTGCTTTGCATCTCTAGAAATTTCATTTGGTTCTTTTTATATCTCCTATTCATCTCCTCACTATGTGTGGATTCTCTTTACATCCTGGAACATATGGAGCGTACTTTCTGAAGATGTTTCAACGCTCTCGTTCACTAATTTCATCATGTGCGTCGCTTCTGGACCTCTGGCACCACGTCTGTGACATTTCTACCTACTCCCCGACTGCGCATCGCTTGCCTTACTCCTTCCCATCCCTCCTAAAATTCCACTCCTTCCCACTGCTTTTGCCCCCATCCTTTCCCGTCTCCCGATGTGTTCCCTTGACCCCTTCCTCCCGCTCCTCAGCTTTTCAATGGCCATTTTTCCTTTGGCATGGAGATGTTTCATGCCTTCCTTGTCTTAAGACCAACACCAAACAAACCTTCCTTGACCACCAGGCCACCACCCTGTAGTTAGCCTTCCCTTCATAGACACGCATCTCCAGAGAACGGCCGTCCCCATCACTGAGATGATTAGCAGTCGTGCACCTTGCCAAGTGCCGGGCCTCCCCGCGCCACAGTCAAGTTTCTGCCCCCTCCCCCAGTCCAGGGAAAAAATGTGGCGAAGTCAACGAGTTCTGCTAAGTGCAGCATATGGTTTGGGGTCCTTACCTTGGTCGGTCTGGGCACAGCCCCTTGCTTCCTCCTGCCTGAAATCCGTCTTCCCTTGGCTTCTGTGAGCTTCGTTCAATTTTTCCTCCCTTTGCTCGCGTCCAGTTCTCTCTGCTTCCTTTCTCTCTCACCACTGTTTCCGCAGGAACGGCTCCCCCATTTATCTCTAACCTTTCAGGGTAGTTCTTTACAGGTGACCCAAGGACCTCACAGTTTATACTCGCAAACTGAACCGAGTCTTTCCTTTGAAACTTACCCTGAAATATCCTTGCTCAAAATGGCGATTCATTGTCGCGGTCGCTGGGATGTGCTTTGTGTTCTGATCCCAACCTCCCTTTATCCATTCACCGCCCCCCCCCACCCCCGCTCACGTTGTCTGCAGAACTTGTGCTCTCCTGTCACCTCCCAGGCCTTTGGTAACATTCACTTTGTTGTAGTTTCCTCTCTCACCTGCCCCACCACCTTCACGTTCAAGCTGTCTCCTGATCATCCTCTGAAAACAAACACAATCATTACTTTCTCTAGGAAACGTCTCCTAAGCCTTCAGTGCGACTTTGGTGTTGTTCCTTAGCAATGTTCTTTCTCCATATTCATATCTTCATCAAGTTGAACACGGTACTTGAGAGCAGGATCGTGTTTGAGGTTGCATTCGCCATGCCTACTATGGTGTGTGGCACGACACGCAAAATTTATGACTGAGTAAATCGCATGCATGCATGAATGAAATTTGCATACATGTATGACCTCCCTTGTCCCTTTAGAAACTTAATCTAAAATTTAGCACCAAATAAGCTACGCATCAAGGATGGTAAATAAAAGTCTTCTAGGTAAGCGAGCGTCAGGCCTCCCTTCAGCTTTTAATTGAGAAGTGATTGTGTAGTCTGAGATTCAGTTTAGTCATTTAGATGGTCAAAAACAGATGAGCCACCTATTTCCCAGTCTGCTTTGGTCACCTCATCTGATGGTTCTTTGGTGATCCCTTCCATTTCCACGCAATTCGATTAGCCAGCAGTCAATCCAGGGATTTACTGCAGTGGAATCCAGGTTCCAACACGGTCTTTCGTGCTTCTGTGGTCCATAGAGCACAGCTTGACAAGACCCCGGCTGCTACCTTCCGCCCACACCGAACGATGTTAATTTCAAGGAGCAAAGGGAAGATAATCCAAGTACTGTTAAATTCTTAGCTGGAAAAAGATTGAGGAAAAACAGGACTTTCTAGTTCAAATTGTCACACTAATGTAAATAAATCACTGAATTTACATGGAATTCACCCAAGAATTTGAAGGAGTTCAAGGGTGATGCTGTAAAGCTGTAGCCATTTTCCCAAAAACATTACTAACAGCTTCGTAGCAATGGGATGTCTCCCATCAACAGGACACTTTCCAAGAAGGGACTGAAGAGTTGTCTCACATCCATGTTGAGGAAGGATATAGAATCTCCGATAAATGGGGAAGTCTTTGGACAAGTAAGCAAGTATAACCTTCTGAGAGAAAGGGAGCCTGTTTTCTGCCAGGGAAAAGCTTGGCTAATTAAATTATTGCAACATCGTTTGGGGGCGCCTGGGTGGCTCCGTCAGTTAAGCATCTGACTCTTGATTTCAGCTCGGGTCACGATCTCGTGATTCGTGAGTTCGAGCCCCGTGTGGGGCTCTGCACTGGTGGTGCTTGGGATTCTCTGTCTTCCCTCTCTCTGCCCCTCCCCTGTTCGCTCTTGCTCTCTCTCTCTCTCTCTCTCTCTCAAAATAATTAAATAAACATTAAAAAAAAGAAACATTGGTTGGATGGCAAATTGAAATACAGAATAAGAATAACCAAAGGATATGTTGTAGTGAAAGTTTCCCTCAAAAAAGTATTATTAAAATACTACAGTAAAAGTTCTGAATTTTCACAATTAATAAAATAAATGGTATTGGAGGAGCTTAGGGAAAGTGTCGACTAACACAGAAAAAAATCACCCGAATCCCCATTTTATCTGCCTTGAGTGTTATCTTACCAAAACACATGTCAGGTCACGCCTCTTCCTTGATTAAACCTTTAGTAGTTTGTTATCGTTTTAGTAGCTTTTCATGATAAAAAGTAAAGAAAAATTGGAAAGCAGGAAAGGAAGTACTATCTTTTTTTTCTTTAAAAGATTTTATGTCTTCTTTTTTTTTCACTTCAAGTCCACTGCTCTTTATTATTTTTTTAATATGAAATTTATCGTCCAGTTGGTTTCCATACAACACCCAGTGCTCATCCCAACAGGTGCCCTCTTCAATGCCCATCACCCACTTTTACCTCCCTCCCACCCCCCATCAACCCTCAGTAAAGTACCATCTATGAAATACTAGCATATCTAAGTGCCCTTTCATTTAGCCTTCAAAAGCCTATGGTGAGGCTAGTGCCGTGACGCTATTCCCATTTTACAGAGGGATAAACTAAGGCACAGTGAGGATAAAATATTTACTCTTATTCCCATGGCCCATAATAAGGAGAGGAACATGAATTTTAACTCAGGAGTGATTGTAGTACATATTTCTGGTATTGTAATACACTGCTATGTCGGGACAGGCATGTAACTCCCTTCTGCCCAACGAGACATGAGGAAAAGTCTACTGCAGGGTGAGGGTGGGGCTTAAGAGAAAGGCTTCATGTTACACATTCTTCCCTAGAGCATTTCCTTCTGGAAATCTGATGTAGCAGACTCAGTTAGCATCAGGTATCAGGCAGTTGTGTGCTTCCCCGGGTGAACCTGATTGGTAACCAACTGGGATAATTCACTTTTCCAAGGGATATACAAGAATGGGCATGTGGCACTATTTTGCCAAAGAATCATGAAGGCAATTCTGTTTGGAGGGAGCTAATAGTCCAGGAAAAGATTTCGTTTTGTTTTTAAAAAAGAAAGCTTGCGGAAAACCTACTCTTTCTTATGGTTAGATTTGCCATCACATGCGATGCTTACAGCTGTGGCAGCCATGTGGGCACCATGAGGTTAGTCATCCTAAAAAGATATGCCAGCGTGCGGAGGAAGGCATGCGGAGCTGTAGAAAGAACCTAGGCCCTTGATGATATAGTCAAGCTGATAAATGTACCAACTCAGAATGGTTTTAACCCTGGATTTCTCTATGCGAGATAATGTATTTCCTTATATGGAAGCCATTTTTGGATTTGTCCCTCTGTGACTTCCACCCTGAATGTCCTGACTGATAAAATCTTTATTTTCATACTTGCGGATTGTGGTTTCTCTTCCCTAGTGTGTGTGTGTGCGTGTGTGTGTGTGCCCGTGCGTATGTGTTGAGGGGACCACGAGGGAAGGATAAATGGGTCGCCGCCATTCATCAAGAGTCAAACTTCCTATCAAACTTCTTAGGAAGTTAATAGTTTCAGTAAAAAATTGAGAAGTATAGAGAAAAATTCGGATGAATTTTGAGGACCAGAAATTCAAAACAGAGAAAGGACAAGTACTATGTGGTAGAACGGAAAGCTCTTCAGTAGGGGGTACAGATGCGTGTTTTCCCTTCCCTGTATGTTTCATTTTTATTAACTGTTCAAAGACCAAACAACCCCGAACTAAGAAGTTATTGGGTCGTTTTCTCTCGGGGTTATTTTTAGGGCAAAATTCAAAGGCACTGGGAACTTCTACATAAGTGGCAGGCACCCTTATAGGGTCTTTCTTTTCATGCCCTAAGGAACTTGCTTCTCCATCAGCACAGAAAATGCAAATAGAATACGTCAGAACTGGCGATACCCCTGAGCAGACATTTATTGATTGTCTCCTCAGGATTCCCCCTACCCGCTTCCCAACTGTCTCTGATTTCCATTTAAAGATTCATGTATTTCCAAGGAAACTGAATCCTGTGTCGGCGCCAGATTTGGAATTTGGAGCATGTATGGCTTACGTTAAGCCAGTAAGTATGTGTCATTCCCCAGGCCATTGTGATCATCAAGGGGATGGGTTTGCTATCTTCAGCTGGTTCAATTATGATCACTTTCAGAACGATTGCTGGGAATCCAATGCAAACACATTCTCTCTTTCCTGCTACGATGGGGATGTAGCTCTGAGACTTTTGGCCACCATCTTGGAAGCAGCCTTAGGGTGAAGTCGATAACA